ATTTTAGCGACATTATTCACCGGAATTGTTTCAAAATTGATATTTGAAGTTCGTTATGGAAACTACAGTCTGTGACAGAAAATTGTCTGTGCGGGTCCAGGTCTTCGTATAGGCCCCATATATCAGTACCTCCCTATATTCGGTATTTTGACGATTTTAGGTGCAAAACCCACCGAAATTGTTTGAGATGTGGTATTTGAAGTTCGTAATTGTTGCTACAGCCTGTGTCAGAAAATTGTCTATGCTGGTCCAGGTCTTCGCACAGCTCCAATTTAGCGGCACCTACTTATATACGATATTTTGATGATTTTTAGCTACATTATTCACCGTTTATTTCAAGTTTCGAATTTGAATATGGTAATGGCTTATGACAAACAATGCCTATGTATGTCCAAGTCGTATAGACTCCAATATAACGGCTATATTCGGTATTTTTAAAATTTTAACAGAATTTTTTAAGGATTTTATTTTTTGAAAATTTCCAAATTCGTTGCAAATGGTGGAGAGTATTAAAAGTTCGGCCCGGCCGGACTTACTGCTTTTTAACTTGTTTGATATACAGTGGAAATAGAGATTTATTTTCATTGAAAACATATAGTGAAATATGATGAAGAATACTTTTGTCTATGACGTCATCCTTCTAAAATGATAGTTTGTAGAAGATTTTTGCACAAACTCACACTGATTGCGGTTTTTATGACTAAAATGACTCTCTGCTGTATGCAAGTTCCTGGAGTTTAGCCTAAATTTACCTTTTCGACGTCATTTAGGACTTTTAGTAGAATTTTATGACAAATAATTCGGAATTTTGTTTGACAAAAATGTTAAATCAAAACTTCATACATCGTAATAAATTTAGTACGCATTTTTAAAACAAACTTTATAAATCAAATTCAGATACCAAAATTGGCCTTAACATCAAATTTCATGATTTCAGTACTTAATTTCCCCAATTACCAAAATTAGTACAATTACAGTACCCAAAACCAGCTCCGTCTCTAACCTAAAGACACCAAATGTTATATGCATAACCAATTTCAGGATTCCAACTCTGTTCCGTCACCCAATACCAAAACCACCTCCATATCTCAATTTCAGATACACAAAATCAAATTTGAGGATTGCAGCCCCATCCCTTCATCCTATACCAAATTTAGTACATTTTAGTATTCTTCGTAAAATCACAATACACAATTCCAAAACCACATTTAATATCTCAATTCCAGATACCAACAGAGATCTTTTCGTACAAATTTATAAATACTCATAAAGGCCAACGCATTTCCAAACCACTGTCAAATCTCAAACACAGGTACCACCTGTAAACTAAATATCAAATTTCATGATTTCATATATATTCCATTACCAAGTACAGTACCATTTAGTACTTTTCGTACAATTATAGCACACATTTCCGAAACCACCTCCATATGTCCAAACTACCCGTGAACAGCGAACCTTATACCAAATTTCAGATTTCAAGCACTTTCTGTTCACCAAGTACAAAATTGTACCAGATATAGTACAATTTAGTACTTTTCATGCACTTGTAGTACATATTTCCAAAACCACCACTTTATCACGAACCTACCACCAAGAAGGACCTCGCAGTAATCCCAATCCCGAATTTTAGGATTCCACCCCTGTTGGTTCGCCAAATACAAATTGTATTTTTTTTTAGTACAGTCTAGTACATATAAGTAAAAATTTCCAGAACTACCTACATATCCCAATAATACACTCCGAAAGTAATCTTATTTCCAATTTTCAGGTAGCCACTTCTTTTGGTTCACCCAAATCCAAATTGTATCAAAATGTGGTACCATTTAGTACACTTAAATACAAGTTTGCATACATCATAGAGTCAAATAGAAATCTTACTTTCAAATTCCCGGATTCCAACTCTATTGTACCATATTTAGTACCATTTAGTACACATAAGTACGAATTTTCAAAACTATCTACATTCCTCAGTCCCAGAATGCCATATTAATCCTATTTGTAAATTCGGTTCACCCAAACCGAAATTGTATTAAATTTAGTACCATTTAGTACTTTTCTTGCACCTAAGTAAACATTTCGAAAACTTCATCTATATCTAATCCTACACTCCACCAGTAATGTTAATTTCAAATTTCAAGATTCCAGCTCCATCCGTTCAGCTAAATTCAAATCGTATTAAATTTAGTCAAGTTTAGTACTTTTCGTATACATGGATACACAGATCCAAAACTACCTCCATACATCGACTCTACTCCTTAACCTTGATTCCCGTTCCAAATTTCAAGCTTTTAGCTCTAACAGTTCATGTGATATGTAATACATTTTAGTACTCTCGTACACTTAGAGTGCGTATTTTCAAAAACCCTTTGGTACATCTATAATACACTCCATAAATGACTCTCATTCCAAATCAAAGAGTTCTTCCCCAGATACAAAGGGTACCATATTTCCGTACCGTTCTAGCACGCTATTTCCAAAACCCCAGCTTTATCTGACCCTTTCGGACCAACTCTCACCCAAAATTTCAAGATTCTAGCTTCAGCCTTTTCGTCTGTTCGTTACTGTCAGGCAGGCAGGCAGTCAGTCGGCCAATTACTTTACTCTTTTATTAATATAGATTTAACAGAGATGTTTGACAGTAAAACAAAGCACAAAACATGCATATATTTTTTTTTATCATATAAAAATAATAGTTATCCAGTAAACCAGTAAAGAAAGTCTTAAAGTCGGGCGGGACCGACTTTATGATACCCTACACCACTTTGCTATTTTAGTGAGCTCCGCATAACAATTATGATTATAATTTAAAGTTCAAAGGACTGAATATGCCGAAGCATTTGTATCTTTTAAATTCGGACTTGTATTACCCATTTGGTGCACAATTAACTTGAAATCGGATAAAGATATACATGGGAGCTATATCCAAATCTGAAGAGATCTTGATAAAATTTGGCAAAGATATTTCTGAGCTGTATTTGATATATTTCCCTGAAAATCGTCGTTAAGGAGTGCATATTACAGCTGTGGGTAACAAATATAACGAATCGGATGAACAGTATATATGGGAGCTATAGCTATATCTGAACCGGTCTTCACCAAATTTGACATACTAGCTTCTAGACTCAATTCGGTCGTAAGTGCCAAATTCCATCCCATTTGGATAAATATTAGACGTTTGGTGCACAAAAAAAGGTAAATCGGACGAAGTTATATATGGGAGCTATATCCAAATCTGAACCGATCTGGAAAAAATTTAGCAAAGGTATTTCTGAGCTGCATTTGATATATTTCCCCAAATATTGTTGTTACAGAGTGCATATTACGGCTGCGGAGGACAAAAATAACAAATCGAATGAACAATATATATGGGAGCTATAGCTATATCTGAACCGATTTCGATCAAATTTGGCATACTTATTTTCAGGCCTAATCTGATTGTATGTGCAAAATTCCATACCATTCGGCCTGGTATTACACGTTTGGTGCACAATAAAAGGCAAATCGGGCGAAGATATATGTTGGGGCTATCTCTAAATTTTTACCGATTATCTCCTATTTCAATAGGATTCGTCCTTGGGCCAAAAAAATGATTTGTGCAAAATTTCATCTTGATAGGACAATAAATTCGAACTGTACTTTGTTTACAAAAATACATGGTCAGACAGACGGACAGACGGACGGATGGACATGCATAAATCGACTCAGAATGTGATTCTATACAGATCATCAAAAGGAACTATGGGTCTATCTCGTTTCCTTTTGCCTGTTACAAACAAATGCACAAAGACATAATACCCTGACATAGACATTGGCATAAAACCTGACTTGTGGTGTAGGGTATAAAAAGCAGTAAGTTTAGCCATTTGGATCGAATTTGGACATTTTTAAAAACATAAAAACAAATATAGTCGTTATATAGGGGTCTATATGAAGACGTGGACCTGCATAGGACAGAATATAGGGAAGTACCGTTATATCGGGGCTATACGAAGACCTGGACCTGCATAGACAATTTTCTGTCATAGACTGTAGTTCCCATTACAAACTCTAATCATCTAAATAAAGAATATTGGGAGGTGCCGTTATAGGGAACTATACGAAGCCGCATTCGCAATTTTTTATCACAGGCTGTAGTACCCATTACAATTTCCAAACAAGAAATTTGAAATAACTCCGGTGAATAATTTCGCTATAATCATCAACATACCGAATATTGGGAGGTACCGTTATATGGAGGCTAAACGAAGCCGCATTCGCAATTTTTTTATCACAGGCTGTAGCACCCATTACGAATTCTAAACACGAAATTTGAAATAACTCCGGTGAATAATGTCGCTATAATCATTAAAATACAGAATATTGGGAGGTACTTAGGGCTCTAGCCCCATGCTAACTTTCGCTTTGATTGGTCTACAATTGCGACCTGCAGAGCAACTGCAAAATCAGGATTTTGTCAGTTTTTGGTCCATTTATAAATCCTAAATATTATGCGATCACCTCCAAAATAAATAGGGTTCTATTCTGACCCTAGCCCCACTAAATTTCCATTCTAAATTTCGTGAAGATCGGGCCATAATTGCGACCTGTAGAGTGATTACAAATTAACATGGACGGACGGACATACATAGCTAGATCGACTCAGCTCAGCGAGATAGGAAGATCCATATATACTTTCCTATGTGGGCAACCAATATTTCGTGGTGTTACATACTTTTTGGCCCAATCAAACTTATAATACCCCCAACACATAGTGTTGTAGGGTATAATTATTATTATTTCGATGAGTTACAAACAGAATGACGAACTTAATATTCCCTTCATACTATGTATGGTGGAGGGTATAACTAATCACCCTTTACAGCATCATATTTCAGCAGCAGATAACATATTGCAATGAAGAAAAATGTGTGTACAAGAAACCCCATTTTTTACATTACAGCCATATTGTTTATTGAAAAAGATGAAAAATCCATACACTTTAAATATAAAACATAATTAAAATATTAAAAATTCTTTGCATATCCCATAATATTAAAGTAATCCTTCAGATTTCAATATCGAGCTCATATCGAATTGCAGCAACACAATTAAATATGATGTGGCGGCACTGACAGTCTATAAAAGAGAGAGAGAGAGAGAGAGTAGAAAATTAAAATCTTGCAAACAAATTCAATTTATCTCAAATGTCACCCCTCCTCTCATATCACCCCACCAACTTACCGAAAATATAAACGTATAGTCCAAGGTGAACAAACCAATACCGTTAAACTGAAAATAGCCCTCCCAGTGCAGGAACTGCAACGTAAAGGATTTCATTTTGTTGTAGTACAGGTCATTGCCCAACATGAAGGCAGGTTTCTTTTGCATTATTTCATGCACAATCATGGCCGATTGCTTGGAAAAACTGTTGGCATTGCAGCACAAACGCAACACCAAATAGGCCACGACCATCGTTGTGAGGCTCCAGACCATGAACAAAATGATGACATAATCCAACAGACGACTCTTGCCACCCACCACAAAGAAAACTTTTGTCAGCAAGAAGATGCCAAAAATAGTGATGACAAAGCACACCGCCATATAGGGAACACTTTGCGGCCCATATTCGGCATTGGTGATGACGCTCAGCGAAAGAATTTTATCGTGAAGTTTAAACAATTCGGGCAGATTGCTTTCAGAGGTGGGTCTAAAAAGAAAAGAAAATTTCCATAAATTCCAGGAAAAAGAATTTCATTTCCCTACCCATCATCTGGTATGGTTTCGGTGTCATAAAAACTCTCCAAATCATCATTGAGTTCATCACTTTCCTCATTGGTGGCCGTCAGGTGTCGCTGCCGTAGTTGCTGATTTGGTGGCATATCCTTTTTGGCATCCGTCTCAATATCGAATATCATCAAGGGAATATGTTTACGATCACTCTCGGCATTGATTTTCTCAAACAACTCGTTGAGTTTTTCAAAACGTTGTGATATTTCCGAAACGAAATAAATGAACTGACCCAGCATCACACTAGCCGCCGAGTATGGAAAATTCGAGACCATCAGCGTTATGAAGAAATATTCGTGGTAGTAACTGAAATGATGAAAAAAATGTTCAGTCCATCGATTTCGAGAAAAAAAAAATTTAAATGCAATAAAATAAAATATTCTTCATTAGTGTTAAATTGAAAGTTTATTAAGAATCCAAAAAATCTTTTTTTTTTAATTCTTTAAACTACGCATATCCCAAAAAACGGCCCAAATTTAAAAAGAGGGCATTACAAAAATTTTCATTTTTTGACAAGCAAATTTCCATTTTGTACCTCTCCTACAAAGGATACGATATTTTAATAATCTTAAATACAACACTATGCAACACAAAAAAAAATAAAGGAAAAATTCAGCAGGTTATGAAAATAGACCAAATATGTAAAAAAAAAACTATTTAAAATGTATTAGTCGGTTTTGTCGATAGATGTATACCCTCAATCAATGTTCGATTATTTAAATATATTTTGACTTCTGTTATGATTATTCAAACTGTTGACCCTCTGTGGAGTGGGTACTGAGTATTGAAAATTTGTATCGTTAGTGGAGGAGGTACCAGAAGGATTGAATCGATATATTCCATCTTCACAGCAGAACTTGTATTGATACAAATATTGTCATATGGGAACTTGAAGACAATCGAACAATTACGTCACACTTTATAACAGCTTTAATTATTTGTATGGGAGGTACTTGATGGAGTGAACCGATAATGTCAATTTTCGCACCTTACGGAGGACTGATGGATATATTAGTATTTGCAAATTTGGATCAAAATCGGATCGTCCTTTCTCTTAATGTCCAGTAAAATATCTCTTTTTTTGAAAATTTCGACATTTTGTGGGGGAAGTACGAGAAGGAGTGGGCCGATATTGCGCATCTCCGAACTTGATCCAAGTTTGATAATAATATTAAGATGTATCCAGTTATTTCGCTTTCTTTGAGCGTTTTACTTTTCAAAATCTTCAACCCTACGGGGAGGCTCCAGAAGAAATAGTCCGATCTCTACCAACTTTATAACAGATCTTCTGTTGATCAAAATATTCAGATGTACCAAGTCTGAATGGAATCAGATGTTAAGTTCGTGTTTTATAAGCTCCATGGATATGCAAAATTTTGAGATTTTGTGGGGGGAGGTACCAGAAAGAGTGGACCGGTATATCTCATCTTTACAGCACATCTTGTGCTAGTAGAAATGGTGGGATGTATGAAATATGAAGAGAACGGATGCTTATTTCCGATTTTATAATCATTTTGGTCATTCAAAATGTTAACCCTTTGTGGGGGCGGTACCAGAAGGAATGGTCCGATCTCTATAAGCTTTATAACATATCTTGTGTTGATGTAAATATGGAGATGTGCTAAGTCTGAATGGAATCGGATGTTAATTTGGCGTTTTTTGAGCTTCATGAATATTGCAAATGTTGACCCTTTGTGTGGGAGGTAAAGAAGGAGCTGTCCGACACATTCCATCTTCACACCAGACCTTGGGTTAATCGAAGACAATCGGGCTCATACATCACTATTTATAAGAGTTATAGTTAATCAAATATTTGACACTTTGTGGGGAGGTACTTCATGAAGTGGGCCGATATGGTCCATTTTCGCACCTGACGTAGCACTGATGGAAATAGTAATATTTTCAAAGTTGGAGAAAACCGGATTATATTATAGATAACCCCCCTCCCCCACACGACCTTATGTGGGGGAGGTACCCCTTGAAACGGATTTGATCCAAAGAGACCTTAGACCCTAGGTCCGTTATTTCAATGAGAAATTGTATTCAAATCATTTGTTTAGCTCAAGTACAACCCCTTTTAAAATTGGCTATAATCGGCACAAAACGTAGATGCAGCTCAATATATATTATTACCCCATTATTATGCGCCAAATGGTTAATATCGACCTGAAGGGATTAAATTTTGACGCAAACAACCGAATTTAGCTTAGAAGCAAATACTTCAAATTTGATCAAATACTTCAATCGGTTCAGATATAGTGTTAGCTCCCATACATATGTTTCATCCGATTTTGTATTTTAGGCCCTGACACTCATAATGTGCATATATCAGATACAGACAGATATACCGGTAATAGGTTTAGATTTGAATATAGCTCCCATATATATCATTACCCGATTTCACGTTTATTGTTCACCAAATAGTTAATACCAGCTCAAATTATATGAATTTTGGCACAGGCCGCCGAATTCAGTACTTTGAATTCGGTGTAAATCCGTTCAGAAATAGCTGTAGCTCCCATACAAATGTTTCACACGAGTTTTTATTTAAGTTCCTCAGACCCCTAAATTCATTACGTGCCAGCTATAGTATATAGCATAGAAATACCTCTGCTTAACTTTATGGGGATCGGTTCAGTTTTGGATATAGCTCCAACAATATCGTCATCCACTTTTACGTTTACTATCTTCCAAAAATGTAATATCAGCTCAAATATTATGAGTTTTGGTGAAAACCGATACAGTATCTTCTACAAATTTTAGTGAAAATCGATTCAGAGTAGAATAAACCTCCCAGGATTTGAGGCGCAGTCGCGGATATCCTTCTAAATTAATTGTGCAACAAATGTGTAATTTTTGTCCAATTGGGATGGATTTTGGCAAATTCGACAGAATTTGCCCTGTTCGTCCAATTTGGTGAAAATCGGCAAATTTCCTGCTGTTACAATTTCAAAAAACATTTTGAGGACCTAATTGAGTTTTTTATACCCTACAACACTATGTGTTGGGGGTATTATAAGTTTGATTGGGCCAGAATTTATGTAACACCTCGAAATATTGGTTTCCCATATAGGAAAGTATATATGGATCTTCCTATCTCGCCGAGCTGAGTCGATCTAGCTATGTATGTCCGTCCGTCCGTCTGTCCGTCTGTCCATGTTAATTTGTAATCACGCTACAGGTCGCAATTATGGCCCGATCCTAACGAAATTTTGCACGAAGGTGGGGTTAGGGTCAGAATAGAAGCCTATTTCGCCATGATCGCCAAATGTTTAGGGGTTGAAATGGACCAAATACTGAAAAATTGTCGGATTTTGCAGTAGCTATACAGGTCGCAATTATAGACCAATCGACGCGGAATTTCGCATGTAGATAGAGTTTAGGGAAGAAGCCTACCAATTTGGGTGGTCATCGGATAATATTTAGCGGGTAAAATAGACCGTATCTTTTGTGTTGAAAAAATTCAAAATTTTTCATTAAACCGCGAATATTTTAAATCCCGGCGAAATCACAAAGCCATGACAAGGTTACTTCTGATATTTACATTGATGTTAACATCCAACAAATCGGATATATAGCAAAATATGTGCCTATCATAGAAGATATGCTTGAAAGATCTCTTATATGTCGAGAACGGCTGAACTGATTTCGTCAGTTCTCATTAATTCAGAATGACCTCTTGGCAGGAAAGAAAAAAACGTCTAAAAAAGTCGCATAAAAATATCTCTCTAAAGATGAAAATATTGATTTTGTAAAATTTTCTCATATTTTTTCAATTTTGTCATATTTTTGGCATATTTTCATTTTGAATTAAACATTTGGTAATATTTCTACAGCTAACAAAACTAAGTAGTTAGAATATCAGAATATCATATACAGATCGCATTTATGGCCCGATCCTTACGAAATTTTGCATGGGGATAAGATGAGTGTAAGAATAGAAGCCTACTCTTTTTGGAGATGATCGCCATATATTTAGGGGTTGAAATGGACCAAAAAACTGCAAAATTATCAGCAGGTCGTAATTATCGCCCGATCCTCACGCACATTTGAATGGGGGTTACCGGACATTGCAAAAGCTAAGCAGTTTTGGATGGTCATCCAAAAATATTCCATGTGTGAAACAGCAAAATACCAAAATGTCAATTGCAGTGACTCTTTGGAGAATTCACAGATACAGGAAAGACGCACTTTTGACTATTTCGTTAACGCTGATTTCGTTAAGGAATATAGTCAAATGTCTGTATCTCATATAGATGTGTTTCAGTCAAAAACCAATAATAAATGTTAATATTTTGCCACTTCTGAGAGATTATAGGTCTTTGGGAAATATTGATTCAAGATTTAGGAAGACAATTTAATTACCAATAAATTGGAAATGAGCAAATTAGTTCAAGTTGCTATTATTTGAAAATTAGAGAACGAAACCTGATGGTTTTCTTTTATTAATTGTCACAATATCTTGTGGGATTCTTTCGAGTATCTCGCCTATATAAACTGTATCGTTTATTATAGTGTTATAGGGTATTCAACGGTCGGTCCCGCTCGACTGTAGCCTTTGCTTACTTGTTTTTTTTTTTTTTTGTATTCGATAATTAAGTTTTTTTTTTTTGCTTAAATTGTGCGTAGTTGAAGCACTTGATAAATAGACTTTCTATAAATAAAAAAATTCGAATTCAACGATTTTTTATTATTTCAGTTTTACTTACTGCACCAACTCCTTCACATCATAACAAAATGACGCCGTAAATGCCAGTATAACCACAATCCATGTTCCATAAAATAAATACTTCCGTTTCTTCTTCGGTTTACCATCCATGTCACCACCGCTGACAGCTTGACATCTCCTCAAATTCTCATCGATGTCTTGAAGTGAATTTTCAAAGACAATAAAGAATTTCTTACGACGCCATAAATTCAGAGCATGCATGGATAGATAGAGGAAGCAACCCAAATGCACAATCAGTGCATTGCCCAGACGACACACGCTATCACAGCTGGGATTGTGGGCAATGCCAAAGGATCCGAAATTGATCAAGCCATAGCATATGATATAGAATGTGGGAATAATGTACATTTGTATGTAATCGAATATGTTCGAACGTGCATTCAGACGATCGAATGGCATGATCCCATACAGCTGAAAGGAAAAAAAAAACAAATGGAAAAAGGGTAAGTTGAAGTTATTTGTTACAGTATTTGAATTTTATTCAAGCAAATATATACATATATTTTAGCACATATGGTCGAATTTATCACATAAGCAAGTATGTGTATATAAGTTTTATCCAATTTGACCTTTAAGCCGTCAAAACCTTTAATGTCCACTTCACAACAATGATTTTCTGTAAAAGATTTTATATACATCTTACAAAAAAAATTCTCGAGATGGGTTCAGATTTGGATATAGATCTTTTATATATCCTCTTCCGCACCAAATGTGTAATATCTTCCGGTACCTCCTCCACAAAAGGTCAAAATTTTTAAAAAATGTATTTTCTGCACAGAAAGAGAAACGATAATCCAATTTTGCTCCAACTTTGTAAATCATAATATTTGCGTCAGTGCTACGTCAGGTGCGAAAACGGACAATATTAATTCACTCCATCAAGTACCTCCCATTAACCCATGATGGTGCCATGATGGAATACATCGGCCCACTCCTTGTGGTACCTCCCCCACAAAAGGTCGACATTTTCAAAAAAAAAAAAAAAAAGTTAAAAAGTATCTGTCGGTTTTGCCGACACATGTATACCCTTAGCCAATGCACGATTATTTAAAAATATTTTGACTTATGTTATGATTACTCAAATGTTTAACCCCTTATGGAGTAGGTTCCGAAGGAATGTGCCAAAATTGGCCATTTCGTATCGGACCTAAATAAATATGATATAAATATTTCGAAGTGCCAGGTTTGGACTATATTGGTAATTTCCTTCACTTTACATGACATATATGATACTTTTTTATAAAAAGTGCGTGAGGTACCAGATATAATCGATCGAAGTATTCCATTTTCATGCTTCATCTAATACATATAAAAATATTGGTATGGGCAATATTACAAGAAAATAAAACATTTATATCCAATTTATGGAAAATCATAAATTTCATATTCACCTCAGGTTTCTGGCAAAGAGAGATATACTTAGATATAGCAAGTTGTAAAGAACCGCTGAGTTGTTCGCAAATTATTACAGATAAAAGTATTGAAAATTGTGACCCCTTGCGAGTGAGGTATCAGAAGGTGTTCACAGATATATATCATCTGCACAACAGATATTGTATTAGCAAAAATGTTAGTATGTGTGAAATTTGAAGAGTGTTGAATGCCTTTTTCACTTTCTTTGATCGTTTTGTTTATCATGATATTGAACCCTATTGGAAGGTAGCAAAAGAAATTGTCCGATCTCTGCCATATTTATAACAGATCTTGTGTTGATGGAAATATTGAGATATACCATCTTGAATATCTTGAATGGACTCGGATGTTAATATCGCTGTTTATGATGTTCATGGATATTAAACAATTTCAGCCTTTGTGGGGGTGGTACCAGAAGGAGTGGACCGATATATTTCATCTTCACAACAGATCTTTTGTTAGTGGAAATAATGGGATGTGTGAAATATAAAGAGAATCTGATGCTTATTTCGGATTTTATAAACGTTTTAGTTATTCAAAACTTTGACCCTTTGTGGGGAAGGTACCGGAAGAAATGGTCTGATCTCTACTGTTTTTATAACAGATCCTGTGTTTATAGAAATATTCAGATGTGCCAAGCCTACATGGAATCGGATATTAATTTCGTGTTTTAATTCTACCTTTTGTGGGGGAGGTACCAGAAGGAGTGGACCGAAGTATTCCATCTTAACACCAAATCTTGGGCTTATAGAAATATTGGGATGTGTGAAATTTAAAGACAATCGGATTCTTACGTCACATTTTTATACCCTCCACCTTAGTATGGAGGGTATATTAAGTTTGTCATTCCGTTTGTATCGAAATATACATTTTAGACCCCATAAAGTATATATATTATTGATCAACATAACATTCTATGTCGATTTATCAATGTCCGTCCGTCTATCCGTCTGTCCGTCTGTGGAAATCACTCTAGCTTCCGAACGAAATGAAGTAAGTTGATAAAATTTTACTCAAATGTGTAACATGTCTGCAGTACTTTTGGTATTGAAAATGGGCCACGTCTTCGAATAGCCCCCATATAACGGGGCTTTAATATTTAAAGTTGGTAATAGATACTACGGCTTAAGACAAAAAATTGGTCATGTGGGTCCACGTCTTTGTGTAGCCCCAGTATAACGGTACCTCCCGTTATTGGGTATTTCGATGATTTTAGCGACATTCTTTACCGGAACTGTTTCAAATTTGGTATTTGAATTTCATAATAAATACTACAGCCTATGACAGAAAATTGTCTGTGCAGGTCCGCGTCTTCGTATAGCCCCCATATAACGGTACACCCGGATATTCGGTATTTTCATGATTTCAGCCACATTATTTAACGGAATTATTTCAAATTTTGTGATTGAAGTTCGTAATGGATACTACAGTCTATGACAGAAAATTGTTTGGGCAGGTTCATTTATAACCCCCATGGTACCTCCCTATATTCGGTATTTTGATGATTTTAGCTACATTATAAACAGATTTTTTTCAAGTTTTGCATTTGAATATTGTAATAGCTTGTGACAAAAGTTGCTTAGGTAGGTCCAAGTCGTCGTATAGACTCTAATATACGGCTACATTCGCTATTTTTAAGATTTTAACAGAATTTTAACGGATTGTATTTTTTTGAAAATTGTTAAATTTGTACCAAATGGTGGAGGGTATTCAAAGTTTGGCCCGGCCGAACTTACAGCTTTTTTACTTGTTCAAAAGTTATAATTATTCAAAATGTTTACCCTATGTGGGAGGGCACTTGATGGAGTTGACAGATATTATCTATTTTTTCACCAGACCTAGAACTGACGCAGATATTAGGATTTGCAATGTTGGAACAAAATCGGATTATTGGCTCTCTATCTGTGCAAAAAAAATTTTTTTTTTTTTTTTGAATATTTCGAACTTTTGTGGTTGAGGTACCAGAAGGAACGGAGTACTTTGATTTAAGGTTCGGATAGGCTCGAATTTGTACTTCCGTTTGCAATTTCCGGAAATCTTCATCTGAGACCTCATAAAATGTATACGCACTTGTTCATTCGTTCGCCTATTTTTTTATGTTTGTCTGTTAAAATAAAGTCCACATTATTTTACATAGATTTAAGAAATTTTACATAATAGTTATCTGTAGGTAGAATTTCTCCTCCCCCATAAAAGTTATGCATGCTTCCGGTATTTACCATAACCTCCATATAACGCTATCTCTCGATTTGAGTTTTCTGCCATTTCGGCTTCAAGTTAGGTTTTAATTGTCCTCACAAAAAAGTTCCTGTATAAGAGTACCTCCCGACTTTCAGTATTTTGACGGTTTCTATATCTAAAGTTTCACCGGTGTTAGGAAGGTACTTTTTCATGCCTTGAACCCATTTTGCCCCCCTGTAATTTGATATTTTGAAATCCTAATTAGTACAAAACATCCTCGTAAAAAAATTCTAAATGTAGTCCCTCAAATAACTGTAGGCTCCTAATTAGGAGTATTTTGAAGTCCCTAACGCCATAATATCAAAATTTAAATTATAATTTGAGTAATCACATTAACACAGTTCTTACTTCTTTATAGAGTAAGTGTACCAGTAATCGGCACTTTTCGGATTTTCTAAAATATTACTAAAATTTACTAAAATATTAGTTTTTGCCAGTAGTCGGCATCATTTTCCAATGCTCGGCATGTCTATTTGCCAGTAGTCGGCATATTGTATTTCAGTAAAAAATATTATTTTGTAATTTTTTTTATTTCAAATAGTATAAAACAATGCTATATTGCTAATTCATAAAGATTTGCAATTAATTTTGTTTTTAAGTAGTGTTTTATTTAATGATCATTACCTTCAGAACGTATGGATTTTCAATTAAAATAAAAATGTTATTAAATAAAAAAAAGAAAAAAGTAGCTTTCTTATATTTGGAATTTGTGGATTGATATTTTTCTTTAAGATAGTCAACATTTTTTTTTTTTTTTTTCAAAAATGCCACCGCTATCTAAAACGTCGAATAGCTGATTTAAAAACCTACTTAATTTAGAAACGTTGGTCAAAAAGCACAAATAAAAGCAACTTCCGACTCAAAACTATTTTTTATTTGAATAGTTTTTGGATTATTTTTTAATACTTTTCTCAAGTTTTGGTGAAATTGGTCAAAAATGATATTTTTCTAGTAATCGGCAGCCCCTGCCGACTACTGGCAAATCTCTTTTTTTCTGTTCCTAATATCGGCATTAAATAATATAACAGAAAAATGCTTGATTTGTATATTTTTGAGTTATAAAATGATCTTTAGACTGTTTTTTACTATTATAAAATATTTCTGATTCCAAAAGTATTAAATTCAATTTACTTAAATCGATTATTAAGTTGACGCTACCACTAATTTCTTCTTTACAAACAAGCACTATCGCACGCGTTGGAAGATACTCACTGACGAAAACCGTTATTCTCTTGCAATAAATGATAGGAGCTCATTGTTTTTTTTTTACAGAAAGAGAGCAGAGAACACTGTTGACGTTTTTTACAATTATTTCATTATTTGGTTAATTCTATTTTTAGTTATTTAAGTTTAAATTTCAAAACTGCCGACTACTGGGACATGCCGAACTTAGGCACACTAACCCTACTAAAGTTCATAATTTTTTCTGTAATGCCATTGGATTTGCTTTATGTGTGGCTAAAGAAAAACATAGTTTCAGTGTTTTCAAGAATTGTAACTATTCAGAATTGAATACCAGTTATAGGTTTTGAAAATACATATAACGTAGTCTTTCAGTCTCTTTTGTTTTCTTTCGGCATGCAAAAAAGGCCCTTAATTATACCCTACACCACATAGTGGTAAGGGTATTATGTCTTTGTGCATTTGTTTGTAACATGGAGAAGAAACGAGATAGACCCATAGTTACTTTTGAGAACCTTCATAGAATCACTGTCTGAGTCGATTTATGCATGTCAGTCCGTCTGCCCGTCCGTCTG